AGAGATACATACATATTAATAGACACAGTGATGGATGGACCTCTGTATACCGTATCTATCTCTCTCTATATATAATCTGTGCCATTTCTCGTGCCCTGTCACAATGCATTGATCCATCTGGCTATCCTGCACTCATAGCCCTATATTACTTTATAACAGTTTTAAATCTAAAATAAAAGCAAAGCTACTCTCACTCACATAATGTTGGCACTGAGGCTGCACAAACTTAGGTATCCTGCTCCCCAGAACGAGAGTGACCCCAAGAAGCAGAGGGAACTTGTCAAACTGTTGATTTGTTCCTCCTTCTCCCTAATACTAGGGCCCCTGAGGGCACAGGCTGGCAGCCCTCAACTCTGGAAGTTCTTTCAGATCAACAGCTGGCCCTGGCCGCTCGCCTGGCCACTTCCTTCCCGGCTCAGATGGGGCCCTGCTGAAAGCAAGCTGCTCCCCAGGGCGACACAGGCCCCATCGCCCCCCTGCTCTGCCTGCAACACAGATTCTGTTAATCAGTTTGCCCTGCATCTTCCGACACCGACACCCACACCCAGAAGAGGCCGAGGCTTGGCAAGCATTCAGAGCCGCGTCTGTGAAGCTACATTTCAGACTGAAATGAGCTCGGTTTTTAATTTGATTTTTTTTTTTCCTGTAACAAGCAAAGTTCACATTACAGATAAATTGCCCGGAAATTCCAATTTAATAAGGCATATGCATTTTTCAGGCCTAGAAGCATAGAAAACATCTTGCATGCTGGTGTTTTTATACTGAAAGGTTTATTAAAAAGACAGCTTTGAAAATGTCAGAAATTTACATAGCGTGCCTGGCCAATTGGTCAAAAAGTCTGATTTGACAAAAGTGCCCTAAAGCTGGGAAGCAGAAGAGTTTGCTGGTCAGTAGTGCTGGGGGTTCTCCCTCTGGGCTGGGAAGGATGGTACCCATTCAATGTCCCTACACTCAGCTCTCACTTTGCATCACTTGAGCAGAGTATAAGCCAGCGCTGGGTGCTAGTGAGTACTCACAAGTGAGTGTCCTTCTGTCCTGCTCTGTACTAAGTAGGAGCAACAAGCTGGGCCTCGAGGGACTCCATGACACAGGTCTCCCATGTAATGAGGCACCAAATAAAATAAACAAATAGAGAAAGCAAAATAAAGGCTCCTATGAGCACCTAATAAATAGCACAGTTATGGATACATGATTATCTTTTAAAGAAGAAAGCAAGCGAAATGCTCTCCCATAAATGCTCTCCACATTTCTGGGTTTCACTGGAAATGTGACTCATCCTGGCCTAGCTGTGCTGGTTGTTGCTTTTAGAGGACCACTTCCGAGATCATGCCTCTAAGCACTTTAAAGAATATAACTGCTCTTGTACAAGAAAACAAGCAGACGTGTTAATTGTACTGCATAACTGTACTGCATAACTGTAGCATCATAAGACAAAAAAAATGACAGAGGGAGCATCAAAGAGCATTGCTTGTACATGAGATGTGGAAAGCTAGGTTATTTAATTCTGTTTTTATTTATATTCTAAACTGAGTTGAGTAATCACAGAATGAAATACGCTCCATTTAAAATGTTCATTATTTCAGATATGTTGAATCAACACAAATAATTCCTCGATCAACTGTGAACTTGTTACCTGATCAGATGGGTTACTGTTCCCTTCCTTTTTATTTCCACAATGGTTCCAACTAAAATAAAAAAGATCCAGTTGATGTTTACTGTGCGCTCACCATGTCCAGGCACTCGATTTGGCTCTGGGGCTGCAGAATGAACAACCCCTGGTCTTAGGCATGAAACACCTTGCACTCTGAGTAAAGCCCTACCCCTGGAATCTAACATACCTGTATTAAATTCCAGCTCCGCCACTTCTTTGCTGGGCAGCTTTTGGCAGGTGACTAAGCCTCTCTGATTTACCTACTTCACCACAAAAATAAATGTGATGTGCCCATAAAGCGTTTAGCACCAAGATGGACACGAGAAGCATTCTTTGCTTACCTTGGCCAACTTTCACCTGTCCTGACACCAAGGAGCAGAGTTTGGTGAAGTGGCAGACTGACAAGGTCCATATTATGCTGTAACAGGCATGTTAATCTGTGCATGTGCCCAGCAAGGACCTAGTAGAGAGTTCATTCCACTGGGGGGACCACACAGGGTGCATGACAGAAAACATGTGAGTGGGGTCTTGAAAAGTAGGCGACTGGCAGGTGGAGGCATCAATTGACATTTAAATGAAAGACTGGTGTTTTTAAAGAGGTTCGTCTTTGTAATAGCTCACTTCTGCTTTCACAAAATAATGCAATGATCATTGAGGCAGCGAGGGTACGTGGGAAACCCTGCCTTAGGCTCACTTGTTCTCTCCACCTATCCCCTGTCACTGTTGCAGTTCCAGAACTCTGCTCCCCCCGTGCTCTGCTGAGTCAAAGATATCCAAAACATGGCACATAAAAAGAGGTCACACTGAGCCCTGCCCCCCCAACACACGGGCAGTCTGACTCTGATGACGGCAGCTCCTGTGGGCACCCTGCACAGAGCCACGCCCTTCGTATCAGCCTTAGTTTGCCCTCACAACTACTCCATGACATCCCTGGAACTGTCCCCAACTCACAGCGGAAGAAGTGAAAACACAGAGAAGTAGCTTGCCAAGGTCACACAGTTGGAACCCAGGTCTTCTTCACTCCAGAGCCCATGCTTCATTGCACCATGTGTATGGCTGGAAGGCACCAGACAGCAAGGGTTCAAATCCCAACACTGCCCCATTCTAGCCATTGTTCTTGGCAAAGTTCTCATCTCTCCAGGCTTCTAGGTTTCCTCATCTGTAAAAGGGGAGGGATAATATTATCAACCTCACAGGATTGGCTTGAGGACTGACAGAGTGGATTCTGGAAGCAACTGGCTCAGTACCCGGCACATGGGAGTGCTCAGTGCAGGGCTGGATGCTGCTGCTGTTACTGTGGTTACTATGAAATGGGTGTTACGCCCCAAGGCAGTTACAGGAAAGACTGGACTAGATGCCTTCTAGGAAGCGTCCCTCTGCAGTTGGGGCCTCTGGCACATCTACTTTGCAGGACAAAATCTCAATTTGATTCTCAGACCACTTCACATGACCCCAGTGCAAAGGGATTGATAAGAAACCAGAGAACCTGTGAGTTAAAATGACAATGGTGTGCATCAGGGGGTCTATCAATGCTTCCTGGAAGGTCAAAGACTTTCCACATCAGGAGGACTCAAATTGAGCATGACTCAGATGTCATGAACTTCTAGATGCTGAGGCTCCAGGAGAGGCTGGACAGTCTCCAGCTGGGGGTCAAGTTAGGGCTGTGAAGTGCCATCTCTCCCGATCCACCAGGAGGCTCATGGTGACTGCTCAGATGCCCGTTCCTTTCGATGGCCAGCAATTCCTGATCCCCTGGCTCACCCTAGTGTCTCACTGGGTCAAAATCAAGGTGTGGGGGTCTGGAGGCTCTGAGGAGGACCCCCACCCTGCCTCTTCCAGCTTCTGGTGGCTACAGCATCCCTTGGTGTGTAGCCTGATCACGCAACTCCACCTCTGCGGTTGTGTAGTCTTCTCCTTTTCTGCATGTCTCAAATCTCTCTCTGTGTCTCCCTCTCATAAGGACAATTATGATTGCATTTAGCACATCTCACAGCCCCGATCATTAAAAATAATCTCCCCATTTCATGAATATTCTTAACTTAATCAGATCTGCAGTGTCTTTGCCATATAAGGTAACATCACGGTTCCAGGATTAGAATATGGTTATATTAATATTTTCACCTGTGAACATTAGGGTGGTGATTTTCTCTAAGCCCTTCATTTGGAGATTTGCAATCCTCTTAGTATATCAGGTTTTAGATATCCTTGGAACCAAGGCTAGCCACACAAGGCAAAGATGATCAGCTTTGGGCATCTTTATCAGACCAATGAGCTGTCAGTTCTTACGTCTCTTCAGGGGCATATATCACAAAGGTTGGTGGGGAAAGCCAGGAAAGCACCACAGCATCTTTCCAGCTCAGGTCTGGAAATGGCACATCAAGCCACCCAGTTCAAAAACGTCTGAGTCGTGCTCAGTTTGAGTCCTCCTGATAGATAAGACCGCTTTTTCTTACTATGTGCATCTTTACATTGTTTGAACCTCTTAAATGAGCATGTATTATTTTTACAACAACCTCCCCCCAAAAAAGCATTTTAAAATGCTTTAATGGTTTCCCATTATCCAAGTCCAAACCCCTTCCAACAATGGTCAGGTTCTTTATCATCTGTTTCTCCAAAGTCATTTGCTTTCAGTCTCCCTTAAAGAAGCCTTGTTGCAACCACAGCCATCTACCTTCCAGCTCCTAAATATTTGTTTATTCAGCAAATATCTATTAAGTGTCACATACATGCTAAGCAGCGTTCTGGGAACTGAGGTCAAGGCAGTAAACTAGCAAAATTCTTGCCCTCATGGCACGTACATCCGGATAAGCATCTCTGTCCCGTATGCTAACTTCTGTGGTTCTCTCTCCCTGACTTGTCTCGTTGTCCCAAAACACCCTACCCCCGTTCCTCCTGTCTTGGTTCAAATGCCACATTCCTGAGGGAATCAATCACAAGTAGTAACTTCTTCCTCCAAGCACGGATGTGCCCTGCTGGTCCCTTCATAACAGTGCCTCTCCCACCTGGTCTGCAGACGGGATGCATCCACGGTGTGAAAGAAACAAGACTGGGCTTGGACTCAAGATATGGGTTGTGAGCTCTGCTTTGCCTTCATGAGAGCCGAGCAGATAATAGGACCACCTTCCTCATAGGACTGTCATGAGGGATAAAGGAGGCGTGTGCACAAAGTGTCTAGCACAGAGCAGGCGGCCGGCCATGACTTCCAGAATGAGGAACTGTAGCTCAAATGGTGTTTTTGAACCTTGTAAGCATGATCTGGTAGCCAGCTGAGAAATTTGTGTCCTGTGTTCGGTGCATGTTCCTTGAATCTAATTTGAATGTATCTGACATTGTTTGGGATTTTTTTCAGGTATTCTGTTTACAAGGACCCAGCAGGTTGGCTGAATATTAACCCCATCAATGGAACTGTGGACACCACAGCTGTGCTGGACCGCGAATCCCCATTCGTCCACAACAGCGTGTACACTGCCCTCTTCCTGGCCATTGATAGTGGTGAGTAACTTGAAAAAGAACACCAAGGGTACACTTTTCAGTTACAAATATATTTTTACATTTTTACATGTCTTCCGATATACCGGGGGGTGTTCTTGGGAAGAATATAAATATGTAGGAGCAGAAAAGCAAATGTTTAAACACACACATATTGAGTCAATCTTACCCTCCCCCACCACCCTGGAATCCTCCGGTGTTTGTGGAAAGGCAAGCAATGAGACAGATCAGCACAGTGAGCTCACTGCATCCCATCTCAGTCAGGCACCGAGGTTAGTAAGCTACGCCAATGTCCTTTGTCTTGGTACCATGCTCTCATTTGCAGACAGGGCTCTTTGACTTAATACAAATCAAAGGAAGTCCCAGAGGACATCACCGACCCTGACAATTGAGTTGTTCCCATGGCTTTTATCCTATTATGATGTGCTACCGTGGAAAGGCATCAGCGACACGCAGCCAGCAACTTCATAACCACAAGACAATTGCTGTTCATTCAGAAACTGGCAATGCAACATCTATGCACCACACTCTGACTCAGATGCTGGGGATACAGCAGTGAACAGAACAAAACCTGTCCTCGTGGAACAGACATGCTGCCATGTCATGGGGATAGAAACTGCCATGGTTGTTCTCTGCTCTTTGGAAATCAGACTGCGGGGGCCCAGAGCAGAAGGGCAGTCTCTTAGGAGACTGTATGGCAAAATATTGGCTTGGCTTGGACCTGGGAGGGACTGGGACGGGGTCAGATTCTGGATAGGTCTTGCGTATTTTGAATGCAGAGCTGGTAGGACCACCATTAACTGAGATGGGGGATTCGAGTTGGTTTGAAGACATGTTAAGCTGAGATGCATATGTGTCCATCACCCAAAAAGTTGTGTTCTCTTTATTATTCCAAAAGCCAGATATTCATGGCTAAAGATTCAAAAGTCGTTGTTATTTAAGACTCAGTTTTGGTCCTTCCATGTAAAGAGGAATATTTCTAGGCCTCTTTATAGGTACTTGCCATCATACTCAACAGCAAGGATGAACTAAGAGTTCTCAAACCCAGTCCCTATGTGCTATCTACTCACACACAAGCCAAACAGGAGAGCACAGTCTAAGAAGCAAGCAATCCATGTGGCAGTAGGTAGAGAGGGCTTCACAATGAAGTCCAGCCTTGAGCTTAGCCTTGAAAGAGAGGTAAGAGTGGGACACATGGTGGGGATGGTTCACCCTTGTTGTTGAGTTTAATGATAAAGAGGAGGAGGCACCTAGGAGTACAGAGTAGGGAATCGACTAGAAGGGAGTGTGGCATGGGAGGCAAGTAAGGAAAGGAAAAAAAAACAGGACAACCACTGTGAATGAATATGTAGAAACCTATTTGGATGTGTGGGACCCCCCAAAAAAACAGAATTATCTTCTGGAGGGTGGGCCCTTTGTAGTATAGGTTTCCCCTGCTAGATCAGTGTCCCAGGAACTCATCGGCATCCGTGTACCAGCTAGTGTTGTGGTGAGAGGGTGTGTTTGGCTTCAGTGAATTTTTTGGAGATGCTTTCAGTGTGTTTGACCATTTCGTGATGAGTGATTTATGAGTGCACCTGTCCACACCACACTGAGTGTTCAGCAGTTTTTGACCAGAAACGGCCTGACCACTGTCCTCCACTCTCCCTATTCACCTTATCTCACCCCAAGTGACTTTTTGTTTTCCTGGATGAAAAAAGTCCCCAAAAGGAAACATTTTGCCAACGTGGAAGAGGTGGAACAAAAAATGGCAGAAGCACTAAAAGGAATCAAAATTGACAAGTTCAAAAACTATTTTGAGCAGTATAAAAAGCGTCTGGATTGGTGTATTGCATCAAGCAGAAAGTACTTCAAAGGTGACTGAAGTTTAAGCATGCAAGAATAAATACACAATCTTTTATAAATAAATTCCGGGGGTTTTTTGGGTTCCCCTCATATATGGAAAAGTCACATATTCAAAGCATCTCAAAAGTCAGATGATTCATTTGATAGAACAGCAACCAGATGACCCCATATATTCCTGAGGAGGAAATGGACATGATGAAATAGCTTATAGGTATTCATCAGCCGAGAGCTGGACCAGGCCCTGTGCTTGGTCTTGTAGACTCCAGGATGAATAACATATGGTCCTATGTTCAGTGGGCTCATGAGTTATTTGGGGAGTCAGTCACATACACACAAGATCACAGGAGAGTGTCATAGCTCTGTTGGAGTTAAGCCCAAAGAAGCCCCTCCTCCATGCTGGGGGGTGGGGGGATATTTTACCTGAGTGCTGAAGAGTGTTTTGATAAAAGGTAGGGTCTTCTAAGAGTTATCTGGCAGCTTCTGATCGACTAGCCTTAAGTTTCATTTTTCTTTAATATAAGCATTTATAAGAAATAGCTCAAGTTAAGTTTTGCTTATGTTTGCAAATCAAGCAAGGATAAGGTCGCGTATGAGGCCTAATGGGATTTGTCTGCTCAGGGCTTCTTCAGGCCTGATTTCCATTTTAATTGACTCTAACAAGGGCTATGGTTGAAGTGTGTCTACCCAGCATGTGATGGTCCTCATTCCCAGTGCCTTGGGATATACCTTATTTGGAAATAGGGCTGTTACAGGTGTGGTTAGTTAAGATAAGGTCATACTGGAGTAGGTGGGCTCTGATATAATATGATTGATGTCCCCTATAAAAGGGAAACTGGGAGACAGACATGCACACAGGGAGAATTCCACATAAAGATGAAGGCAGAGATCATCAGAATGATGCTTCTACCAAGTCAAGGAACTTCAAAGATTGCCAGTAAAACACCAGAAGCTAGGGGAGAGGCCTGGAACAGATGTTTCCTCACATCCCCCAGGAGGAATCAGATCTGCTGACACCTTGATCTTGGCCTTCAAGTCAACTGTAAGAACTGTAAGACCATAGATTTATGTTGTGTAAGCCACTCATTTGTGGCACTTTGTCATCACAACTCTAGCAAAGTAATACAAGAATTAAAGGAGCTGTTACCTGTGAAGCACTTAGAAAGTAGCTTACACACAGCACATACTCAATAAAAGTTAACTATTGTTATTTTTTTTGAAGTACCACTTACTATCTATTCCGAAAGAATATGAATATGTGAGAAGATGGAAAGTCGGTCAGCATAAGTAGAAGCTAGTGTGGTGGATGGACTCCATGTGTACAAAGACAAAGCACCACACTGATCTAAGGTTGGAGCTGGGTCTTATGCTGAATGCCCAGCACCTGCTACAGCACCCAACTTAGAGCAGGCACTCACACACCTGTGGGACAGATCATGCCTTCAACCATGAAATGCTCTAGATGCTATGCCAAGGAGTTGGACTTGATGATGTCACTCACTTCCCCCCAGAATAAATGTCACGCTTTAGAAAGATACCTCCTGGGCAGTGTAGAAAATGGATCTGATGATGACAAGAGATGAAGCACGGAGGCCTTAGACAACTGTGGCAGAAATACAGGTAAGAGAAGTGAGAGTCTAAACCAAGGCAGTGAAGTTAGTTTGGGTGGAGTCAGTCCCAAGTAGGGAAATGTGCTGGAAACCATAGCAGATTCTTTTTTTTTTTTTTTTTTTCATTAATCAGTATTCATAGCAGATTCTTAAAGGAGTCAGAGTCTGCCTGAGGGCAACAGAAACAAACCAGAAAGGATGAATCTAGATAACATCTGGAAAGAAGAAACAAGGCTATGTCAAGAGCACATCCTGACCATGAAATAGAGAAAGATGATATTCAAGTTTCTAGTCCAGAAATCAGGAATGATTATTTCATCAACAGAAGCAAGGAGCTAGTTTCAAAGGATTGTTCTCAGCCTTTTTTGAGGGATTGGGGGTGAATGTTGAGATTCTGTCCCATGAGAAGTTGGCCATATAGAAATGGAATAAGGAGTAGAGGTTTTGCTTAGGAAATTGCCCATGCAAAAGAGATGGGAATTATCAGAACAGAAAAGCTTTCCAGAAGGAAGAAGTCTAGACAGAGTGATATGGGCATAATCAGGGATGATTAATAAACCAAGAATGTGTAAAATGCTGTATAAATGAAATGTGTCGGTTGTAGATTAGCTAAAGTAATAATTTCAGGTTTCTGTACTACATAAAAATATCTGCACTTGTAGAGAAATAGCTCAGCTAAGAATGTCATGAAGAAATATTAAAATATTGCATAGTATAGTTGTCATTGTCTTATAAAATATTTTTTGTAACTATTAAACCCCCCCCAAAAAAAAAACTAGAAATGCAATGTACATTCATTTTTGCCAGAAATGAAAGCCTTCTTTCCAGGTATACAATGATCAATTAAGTGACACTTTTTGTGTATACATCTTGCCCACAAATATTAAGGAGAACCAAACCACAATTTTCAGAGTTGGAAGAAGACACAAGATTCCGTTGACTTTCTCAAAGTCCTTTCATAAAGATATCATTTTTCTACCTTTGGCTTCTTGCATCTTTGAAATTGCTTAAAATTTCTGTCTAGCAGCAGCAACCTGGTTTAAGGTTCTGCCATACCACTTACTAGCTATCTGATTTTGAGGAAATAACTTACAATAAAGTCAGGAGCTAATAACACCTTACAATCAAATGTTTCTGTTAAGGAAACCCAGTCTCATTTATGTTTTCTGAGCTTCATCACATACCTAAGTGAGCTGCCTGGCCGTGTGACTGTGAAAGCTTCTTATAGACTCTGAGGCTCCATTTCTACTTCTGTAACATGAAGAAGATAATTCCTACTTAAAATGATGTTGTGAGAAACGAAAGAAAGAAGAACTGTGCCCTCTAGATCCTCCATCAAAAGCCATATTAAATGTTCACTAAATGTTAATCCCACCCCAGTGGGCGTTCTGGAAAGGAAAGAGTAGAGCCGAGAATAATCCCCCTGTGACCCAAGAAAAATACAGCTTGAAATCTACTTCTTGTCTAATTCTGTTAACACTAATATCAGACAAGGAAATTTAAAATCTGGTGTCACAGATGTTTCCAGAGGGCTGAAATGTCCCTAATGAT